CCAGTGCAATATATTAACGACGGCCTTCTGCACGCTGTACGAAGTGGGAAACTAGAAACGCGATGACCAGCAACGACGCGTTGTTGTGGTGTATGTACGCGATTGATATTGATGATCTACTGATGTAGTGCCACGTTTCCCCGGCACACTCTTTCCGTACGCCGACTGCGCTCCGCTTTCAAGTCGTCGTCCCACTCCTTCGTCCTTCCCACTCGTCTCGTCATCGACACTCCTTGCCACCCTTATCATACCCTCCACACCTATAATCCTCATAAATCCCAGCTAGCCGACTCAAAACCCCCACAAAGTCGAAAGCCAAAAAGCCAAAACAGAATGGGCACGACACAAAGCACCCTCTCCTCCCCAGAAACGCTCCTCACAGCCGCAGCGCTCGTCGTCGGCGGGGCGGTCGCTGTTGGGTACACCTTCTCCGCCTCCGCGTCTTCCTCAGCTCCTTCGTCAGCGGCCGGTAAAAGCAAGAAGAAGAAAGGCGGCGCGAAACCTGGGAAGGACAACGGCGCGGTGGGGTTTTTGCCCGTGCCCGTTCCTAACTCTACGTCCCCCGACGCTCCATCCTCTGCGACTACCGGCGCTGCGACACCCGCCCAGCCGAAGAAATCCAAGCGCAAGGACACTAACAAATCCTCGCCAGCGGACTCGACCTCGACATCCACCCCGCTCGTCACGGCACCTATACCCTCTTCCTCCCTCCCGGGAACGTTTGCCGCCGACGACGCAGACGGCGACGCACAGGACTTGAAGCCGAAGGTGAAGGCGCATTCGAAGAAACGGAGGAACGGGGGTGCTGCTGCATCCACTCCCACCGCTTCTACCACGGCAGCGGCAGCAGGCGAGGCAGGGACGCCTACGCCCCCCGCTATCGTACCCGCCTCTGTGGTTGCGCCGGGGAAGAAGAAGTCCAAGGGGAAGAAGAAATCCTCCACCTCCACCACGGCGGCTGCCCCCGCGGGTGGGGAGAGCACGGACGACGGGTGGACGCGCGTCGGGCCTGGGCGAGGAGGCGATACGACGACCAGCGCTAGTGCGAGTCAGCCGCCGAGTTTGAGCGTTACTGAGGAAGAAGAGGCGATGGAAGAAGAAGAAGAGGCAGAGGAGATCCCGTTGCCGGGTATGCGCGTAAGGGATCGACCGCCGAAGAGGCCGTTGGCGGAGAGGTTGTTGCCGAAGGCGAGGAAGACGGGTGTGGACGAGTGAGTGTTTCTCTACTTCTTTTGTTTTCTTGCGTTCTTGCGTTCTTTTATCTTCGTCAGTTCTCCCTTGCTCTTCGTTTTCGTCTTCATTTTGTCTCGATTCTCCCTTCGTTTTCTTTTTTCTTCCTTTCTCCACACGGTCCTTGCGCCTTGGCTTTGCCCATCCCACCGGATTCTGGCTAGTGTCTTGGTCTCTTGCTTGCTCTGTTATCTTACACCCGGTCGGGTCGCCGTCTCTCCCTCGAGGCTTTCGTCCAAAATGGCGTCAAGTGGACCCGCTGTCGATGTCTTTGTCTCCATTCTCTCCACTTCTTCTTCGTTCTCTTGAGGGCTCTTCCTCATTCTTTTCGCATCTCCGCCCATGTCCATACGCGAGCGGCGGCGAGGCTGGGTGTTTGGACTCGTAAGGGCGTTTCCTCGTCGACACACCGCAGATACCCAAATCGTTTTTTTGCTCTCTTTGCGTTCGTTGTCGTGCCCTGCCACGGCACTCACTCAGCTGGGGTTCTTCCAATCGTTCTTGTTCTGCCTTTCCTTTACGTCTTCTTTTCAGCCCATTCCCGGGTATTCGCATTCCCCTTGGGCCTCGACCTAAGTATGGGTACTTGGCGTGGGATTGCCCGCCTTGACAATCGTCTTTGGATGTACCGCGCTCGCTGTTTCTGACAAGGAGAGTTGGTGGTGGGGGCGGGTCGTGTACGCGCCCCGGGAGGTTTGGGCGTGGTCATCTCTTTCAGAGGCCAGGGCTAGCTGGAGGCAGACTTGCGAGAGAGGTTTCTACGCTGCGCTTACCTTCTACGTCCCCTCGTCATTTACCGACGAGGACGATGTCGATGTCGATGGTCGGCTTCGGCTTCTCCGCTGGTCGTCAAGTCGCATCTGCTGCATTTCTTTCTTTCTTTTTCTCACTTCATTCGACATCGATCGCCTTGACCCGTTGTGCTTGCTATGTACATAGATGCATGCTTACATACCTCTCGTCTTCTCGCCTTCTACTCACTTTTTCCCTCTTTCCTGCTGTGCTCTTCCTCGCTTTCTATCTGTCGCAGACTCCCCTGCCGTCCTTCCTGGTGCCGCTCCTGGCATGCGAGGATTACTAGGACTCGATCCCTTTCTCCTTCTTCCTTGCTTTGATCTTTCTTCTTCCTTTCATTTCATCAATTCTTCAATCTGCTTTTCTTCAATGCGAGGCTCGTTCGTTCACGTTGCCGATACGCGCTACCTATGTCCTGACCTCTCCCCGAGCCGTCGTCTCTCCCCGCTTCTCCTGTCTTCTGTCCGTTTCTGTCATCGTATGTGGCTTGTATGAGCCTATCGCTGGCTTGCCACTGCGTCTGCGTCTATACCGGTTCTTTCTTTCTCTGATTTTTCCCCTGCCTTGTCGTCTTCCCTTCCCTTGACGTCCTTCTCTTTCTCTTTCTTTCTTTCTTTCCCTCATTCCTCTCAGATCTTCTCATCTTCCCATCCTTCCTTCCTCTTTTTCTCTTTTTCTCTTCTCCTTTCTCTCTCCCCCCTCCTTCCTACCTTACTCATCTTCATTTACAGCATGCTCCCAGCCTCCTCCCCAGACTACCCCGCCCTCGCGCGCGTCATGCGCGTCGTCCCGGGGTCTTCATCCACTCGTCAGCAACCGCAAGTAGAAGACGAAGAAAGCGACGACGCTGAGGCATCGGGACATGACGACCCCCTCACAGACGCGGAGGTGCAGGCGGCGTTGCGCGCGGTGGACGAGGCGGATGAGATGGAGCGACGGGCAGGGGTTAGTGGGGTAGAAGGCGGTGAGGAGCGGGAGGAGGAGGGAGAGTGGGGGTTCGTGCCTGTTAGGCGGAAGGGGGCTGGTGAGTTGTGTGTTTTTTAGGTTTCGTTTCTCTGCGTTCTCGTTCTTGGGGTGTCGAGGATGTACGTGGCGGCGGGGTTGGTCGTCGTTGGTAACTGGCCGCGCTTTCTTGTTTCTTTCTCCGCTGCGTGCCTCGACGATGGCGGACCGCGTTGTTGGGGACGTTTTGGCGAGGCTGAAGGGGATGTCTGTCTATCAGCATTCCCGTCGTGCGTCGCGCGTCGTCCGTGGATCGGGGCATACGAGTAGATGTCGGTGTTTTGGGGGATGCATATGCCTTCAATTGAGCTAGGAACGGGGACAAGGAGGAGGTCGATACTGGTATCAATAACGCGGGACGCGGGTGTCTTGGCGTTTGCGTAGGGATGGATGACTGATTGAGGAGGGATGGGTGTCATCTCAGGGTATTTTGGTCGGAGGAGACGAGATAACGCGAGACGAGACGCGACACCCCGGCGTGCGTGCGCGTAGGGCCACCGTATCGTGTCGTATGGTGATATGGTCGGGATTGTGGTCTTGAGGCAGGATGTAGAGGGGCGGGTCAAGGTGGCGGGGATATCCCGACGATGAATCGCTCAGGTCTGTGCTCGTGACACGGGCTGGGATTGCCGTACTTTCGTGCTCGCTGTTGCCTGCGGCTAGGCGCTTGGGACGAGCATGTTTCTTCGTTGGCGACTATCGGGGACGATATACGCACGCCGCCTGAGTACCGGCGTCTTAACGGGCGATGGGCCGGGCCTATCGTGCTTTCGTGCATCCACGAGCCGGGAATGAGGGTGTTCCTTCGTTACATGCACGCCGTTGGACACGAGCGTGTCAACGAGCGGGATCGCAGTGTATCGCCTGCGAGGCCGTATCTTCCTCCGTGCTTCGTTGAGCGTTGCTGTCATCGTCTCGTCCTCGCCCTCGAGCTATCTCTCTTTCTTCCTCTCCCAGCCCTTTACCAATTACTGACTCTTCTTCTTCAGCTCAATCACGTCCCGCAGGCGCCTCGTCTTCCTTCAGCAGTAGCACACCTTCAGGTCGGTTCTCCTCCTCCTCCTCCTCCCCTCTCTTCTCCTCCTCTCTCCTCTTTTCTTTCTCTTCTCCTCAATTGCTCTTCTTCCTGACTCACTAACACTGTTGCTCTAGGCTCCGGCACCGGCGCGCAGTCGAAGAAAAACGCCAAGAAGCGGGAGGCGGCGAAAGCTGCCAAGGCGGCGCAGGAGGAGGCGCAAAAGGCTGCGTTGAAGGCGCATCGGAGGGGGCTGGAGGCGGAGAGGATGAAGGGTGAGTGATTCTTCTATACTTTGAGCTTTGTGGGCGCGTGGTCCGAAGGGGCGCTGTGCGCGCGGATCGAGCGCCAGGGCAGGCGGAGGTGGCTGTAGACTCGCAGGGATGTACGAGTGGTCTCCCATTCGCCTTGTCCTCCGCAGCCATGGTCCATCGCTCGTATGGACGGAACTTTTCCCGCATCCACGCCGACCCTTACCCCGATCCTCTCCATGATCATTCTACTCCACTCCGTCTCCTACCGCCACTAACTAAACCCACATACGACAGCCCAATCACAAGCCGCCAGCAAGGCGTCTGGTAACAACAAAGTCGGCGGGGGGATGACGGCGAGCGTGGATGCGGGTGGGAGGTTGGTCTGGGATTGACCGGGTCCGGCGGGCGAGGAAGATTCATTAAGTCGTGCGTCCGTACCGAGTCCCCGGATATGGAGGTCCAGCGGAGGAATGAAAGCCACAAAAAATCCATCAGTTATTACATATCGATAAGTACAGTATCTTACTTTAGTTCTTTTCTTTCGGTTACACCGTTCTCTTCTTGCATTTTCGTTTCACTCTTTGGGTGGTTTTTTGGATACATACTATGCGTCTACAGTGAGTACATTTGGAAACTCACATCACATCGGGTGGTTGGCCGTTGATCATTTCGACCTGGATCCAAGCGAGATATAACACAGCAATGGCCGCCTGGCGAAATGGCATCGCGTCTGACTACGATTTGCAGTTATCAAGTTTGCAATGTAATCAGGAGATTGCAGGTTCGACCCCTGCGGTGGTCATGTTAGGAATCTGCGTGTCTTTTTTCCATTTGTTTTTCGTTTTTCGTTTTTCCGTTGCATCTCCGGAAAACCTGTCGATACTCCTTACAACGAATCTTTTCATATATTCAAATGGCGCAAGGGCGAAAGAAAGCAAACGGCAATGGCATTTATTTATGATACAAATGCAAATGCAAATGCGGTCAACTCGAAATTTGTGCTTTGTGTGTTATGTACAGGTATGTACTCGTATATGAATAGGAAGATAGTAAAGAGCGTGCTGTGACGATGATAGAATAGAATAGCAAGTGGTCTAAGTTAACAATTTGTACGAAGGAAACGGTGATGGTATGTATGGTTCGGAGTTATCGTGAGAGGCATATGTATTGTACTGTGAGAGCGATGGACGATGGGATGCGGGTGATGAGATGCCGGATGGGATATGTGCGAGCGAGACAAAGAGATGATGTGCAGATACAAAGCAAAGCAGTGCGACGTGACGTGAAGTGAGCGAGCGATGGTTAAGGGTGGGGTAAGATAGATAGATAGGATAGATAGGATAGATAGCAGGCGGTGATAATGGTAGGATCGTCATAGACGATAGATGATGGAGGAAGCGAAACACTGCTGAACGAAACGAAAGAGTCAAGGAAACTCACCCCCGTCCCCTCGTTGTCGGCGGTGTACCGCGCCACGCCCACGCGCTGCCTTCGCTAGCGCTCGTGGAGCGGTATCTGAAACCTGGCTGGGGCTCGCGAGATTGTCCGGCATCGAGTCCCCCTCGTCCGCCGCTCATGCGATGTGAAGAAGCAGAAGACGGGTCGGCGGAGGTGGATGCCGACGACGATTCAGCGACAGAGATCGTATGTATCGGGGGAAGGGTGACCGCCACAGTCGAAGAACTCGCACTCGTCAAAGCATCCCCTCCTCCTCGATGAGGACTGCCACTACGTGCTTCGATTTCGCCCGTCGCGCGGCGTTGCGGATGCGGGTGCTGCGGGCGGTGCGTAGTAGTAGCCGGCGGGTACGATGCGCGAGCGCGCGGGGGGTGCGGGCGGTGTGGTGAGGGAGGAGATGCAGAAGGCGATATCGGTGGTGGTGCCGCTGCCGGACCGCCCTCAGGGGAACGCGAACGATGACGGGGTGGAGAGCGGGAAGAGGAAGCCAGGGCGCGCGATGCCGGGAACGCAGACGTGCGCCCTGGAGCGCCTGCGCGTAAGGATTTTTTGACGGGTCGGGGGATTCGCCTCTTCCTCCTTCGTGTGCATCTTCTATCTCGCGTTTGCGTTTGCTGTTGTTCTTCATGAGATCGATGCTGACGCTGAGCTCGGAGCGAACGAGCCGGGTGGCGGTTACCGCGCCTCCTCCTCCTCCTCCCCCGCCTCTGCCGCCGCCACCGTGAAACCCCGATGAATACGGTGGAGGGAGTGACGAAGGGATAGATAGCGTCGTAGGGGTCGCAGATGAGGCGGAGGAGGTGAAGGACGAGAGGGAGCCAGCGCTTGTGCGGCCGGTTGAGGGGGCGAGAGAGGAGGAGGAGGTCGAGGCGGAGTACGTGCCCATACCCATTCCGCCTTGACCTTGCACTTGACCTTGACTAGGACCTTGGCCTTGAGATCCGATGCCGCCGCCACTCGCACTGCCGCCGCCAGCGTTCCCATGACTCGAATATGTAGTTGTTACTGGTATCGAGGGAGAGGAGGAGGAGGAAGAGTGAGGAGGGAATGCGTCGCCTCCGGTACCCCATGACCCCTGGCCTACCGGGAAGGGCTGATGGCCTGCGGATGATGATACCTCGGGATGTGATGAGACGCTACCCGTGCGCCGTGCGCGAGTTTGGATCGGGGAGGCAGAGCCGGATACAGAGCGCGCGTGGATCTCAGAACTTGAAGAAGGATGCGTAAATGTAGGGGGCAGGGAACCCGATCCAGGCGGCGGCGCTCCATGAATTTGCTGCTGCTGTTGCTGGGTGTATTGAGGGAGGGAGCCGCTGCTGCGGTGGTGCAGGACGGGCGAGATCGTAGGAGCAGCAGCAGAGGTAGAAGTCGTAGGCGAGAAGCTGGGACGGCGGGCATGCGTCACGTTGGGGGAGAAGCTGGATGAATGAGGGTGTTGCTGCTGCAGGTGAGGCGAATGCGTGGGTTGGTGGAGATGCAGCGACGGTGGGATGCCGCCCGACGATGACGAGGGACCAGCGAACGATGAGGTGCTTGGAGAGGCAACGAACGATTGCGTGCCGCCGGGGGCGAAGGATTGTGGTATAGGAGCGGTAAATGCCTGGGGGGCGTACGGCGAGTGCGGGGAATGTCGGGGATCGAAAGGTTGCGGCGGGGCGATGAAGGGAGGTGGGTATGCGGTCGCGGGGAGGAGATGTGGGGGGAGGGGATGCGATGCGAGAACGTGGGGTGGGAGGCGATAGACGTAGTCTTCGAAGGCGTGGATGCGGGAGCGAAGGGCGTCTTCTAGCATGTCGACGCGTCTGTGGAGAGCGTCGTATTCGGCTCGGGGAACATATTTCTCTGTACTGGAGAAAAGCGTCAGTGTATTCGACGAAATTTGGGAGAAAATAGGTTAGAAGAAAGGTATTCAAGGTATCAAACGCGACGCGAATGAGAAATAGCATCCAGCAGCAGACATCCGAGACGATTTCTCAGAACGAATGCGTTGGGATTTGAAAGAAAAGAGGTGAAAGACAACCAAGTAACACGACGAAAAGGTCAGCACTCGAATCGCTGAGATATAATGAGAGGAACAACCTTCGACAGACTCTCTCGGAACGAATGACAAAAACGAAAAACACGAAAATGCGACACTCACGCAGGCTCAACGACATTCCACTGACACTTCGCCTGGTCCCCCCTCCTCACACAAGGTGCACACGGCTGCGTCCTAATAAGCAGCGTAACAACTTCACGTCAGTCATTCGGAAAAGGATCAAATAGATAGATGGATGGGATTCACCTGTCGCACCGGATCTTCCGCCGCTTGCACTCTAGCACCACCGTCCCGAGATGAAGATGAGATGCATGCCAACTACGACGGAGTAGACGCACCGGTACAGCTCAACGCCTGTCTGCGGCGTTTCTTCTTCGGCGGCTCTGCGTCACCCGAGGGGTCGCGCTCGTCTGCGTCCGAGTCGGCGTAAGAGGACGGGGGGTAGCCTGGGTGTGCGCTGAACGTCATCATAGGCATAGGCATGGTCGGGGTGGAGAGCGTAGGCGTCGGGAAGGCGGTCGACTCCATCGCAGCGGGCGGCGGGAGGTACGGATGCAGCGTGCGGATGCTCGGCAGCTGCGGCCCGGCGGGACGCCCCGGCCGCTGTTGCTGCATGATCACGTCGACGTTTCGCAGCGCGTGAGCGCAGAAACCAAAAAGCGAATTGGGAATTGGGCACTGGGTTTATATGGGATCTGTGTTGGGGGCGAAATCTGTTATGGTTAGTCCGCCCCGGGTCATATTCTGTTTGAATCTGAGTGTTTCGTCGACGTCAAATCGGGAAGGGACGAGATTATCCCCGCGAGATTCCTTTTCGGTAACGGTATCTGCTTCCGGCTTCCCTTCCCTGAGGGCCCCCGATGCGCTTCCCATTGCCTCAATTCACCGAGTGTCGTAATGTCAGAGCGAGAATGAATCCCGTGCTATCCCCGTTCCGTTCGGGAACTCTGGATTTCGCCTACAATATTTTCACATCAATGCCTATCATTCCCTCGACACCGATCAATATTAACGGCGCAAAAGAAGAAAAGAAGAAGAGCGATCCTCTCCTGCAATTTACAGAGCGTTCTAGGTTCGATTTTTCTTCTTCTCTGGAACAACGGCGGGCCTGTTAGCCCGCAATCGCCGCATACCGGTAGTTCAAGTGTGAGAGAGGGTTTCATGCAAGTAAGTATGCAGTGCCGAGTAACTCAATAGATGCGTTTCCGACACCCCGGCTAGCGTACAATTTCATCACAACACATCACCGAGACGGAGAATTCCATTCAGGTAGCGAGCACCTCCGTCGATCTCTGTGTGGAGATCACCTCATATTCAACGTGCTTTGGCTTCTGTTCGCGAGCATGAATGAACCGACAACGGAAGCAAAAAAAATTATATCGAGGTGAAATTCTCGAATGTCGATCTCTTGGTTGAATGCTCGATCGAAACGGTTCTTGTGTTTCGGATTCGTCGATTTCTTCCGGTTCAGAGAGTAGAAGAAATCCAAATCTACCTCAGTGAGCACCTCTGTTGATCCCTAGGTGGATATCATCTTATTTGCCGTGTCGTCCAACACTCGTTCCAATGAATCGACAACGGAAGCAAAACAAACATTGATATTGAGATGAAATTCTTGAATGCACTGCTATGTCGATCTCTTCGCTGAATGCTCGATCGAAACATTTCTCTTGTGTCCCATTCATTCATTCATCCGATTTTTCTAGTTTCTAAGAGACGAGTTCATTCGATGAATGTTCTTGGCCGCGCTCAGAACAGATCGAATTTTATGCGATGCAAATGCACCATCAAATCAAACACGGTTGCAGTTTGGTTGCGGTTCAACTTTTACCAGATATATTCCAAAGAAGAATTGCCTTCTGAAGGCTCGCACATATTCCTCTCGCAGAACCCCAGCGGTTTTTACTTCCCATCTCCCTCACAGTGTTTTACAAAAAACAAACCACCGCCAATCAACCCATCAAACCACCCAAACAAAGACATGACATCAACCTGACACAACGCCTCGTCTCTCCGTTCTCCACCATGTTCCGCCGACGCGCGATATCGAAACGGATCTTCTGCCCGCTGCCCTCAGCCCTGGATATACATACGCCTCGAGCCGTCACCGTCGCCGTTATATCCGTCAATGACTCCAAAATTCAATTTGTCTGAGCCTCGTGGAAGCCGTAAACGACGAAACATTGCAAGAAACGACGACACGCCGCCAATATGTCATTGACAAGCTTGAAGCTCGTGGATCTGGTTTGAATTTCTCGCGCTGCAAGCAAACAATTCTGGGCTCCTCTAGTGGTCTCGCTGTACTC